ACATCCATGCCAATCCTCCTCTTTTGGCTGAGGAAGACCGGCCCTGAGCTAACATCTATTGCCAATCCTCCTCCATTTTTTCCCTTTTTCTCCCCAAAACCCCAATAGATAGTTGTATGTCATAGTTGCACATCATTCTAGTTGCTGTATGTGGGACGCGGCCTCAGCATGGCCAGAGAAGCAGTGCGTCGGTGTGCGCCTGGGATCCAAACCTGGGCCGCCAGTAGCGGAGCACTCACACTTAACCACTAAGCCACGGGGTCAGCCCCCTGTTGCTTATTTGTTTTTTCTCCTTTCTATGAGATTTGTCTTTTCTTTTTTCCCTTCCCACGCAAATTATTTTTCATTTTATGTAGTCAAATTTATCAACCATTTTTTTAAACAATTTCATCACATTAAGAAACAATTTTCCCATTCCCAGATTATTAAGACATTTATCCATGATTTCATTTTGTTTTGACATTTAAATTTCTGATTCATGTGGATTTTGTTCTATTGTGTGGGATGAAGTATGAATGTAATTTTGACCTTTTTCCCAATGATGCCCCATTAATTTAAAAATTCACGTTTTTTATTATTGATTTGAAAGGCCACCGTTTTTTAATGTTGTATTTCCGTGTGCACTTAAATTTATTTCTGCATTTTCTCTTCTCTTCTACTAGTCTGTGTCTTTTTATTCCCCACTACCATACTCTTTAAATTATTGAGAGTTTAGGAAAGTTTCAAAGTTTCCCTCACAGAGGTTTTACAGATTTCTTGTTAAATTTATGCATGGGTATTTCACCTTTTTTCTTGGTAATATAAGTGTGATCTTCTCTTTGATTCTCTCTTCTAATTGATTATTGTTTGTGTATATGAAGATTATTCATTTCTGTATGTTAATTAACTGTTATTGTTTGTACTATTTTGCACATATATCTCCTGAAAACTAAGCCATCTTTACCTCTTTTTACCACAGAGAAGTGTGGATTTGAAGCTGACACACAATGGCTTAATCATTAGCATAGAAATGGTACATGATTATTCTCCTTATATATATTAATTTGATGAACTATGTTCTTTAATTTGCTGACACTGAAACACTCCTGTTTCCATGGACTAAACCCACTTTCTAATGTGTGCTAGCTGTCATCTCTCAGCTCTAAGCCCACCTCTCTATACCTTGCTGTGTGATGCTGGAACTCAAGAAATCACATTGCTGCTTTGCTGGCTGACTCTCTTTTAGCTTCTGTCACTAGGGGGCGATAGAAGGAGCTGGAAAACCAGAATGAGGGAAAAGGAACTTGCTCCTTCCTGTTTGCTTGCTTTCCTGTCAGCGTCAGCTCAGCAGTGTTGCTTTCCAAGCAGCAGCAGCTGGTTCCAGTCACCAGGTGGTTAGCACTCCTAGAACCAGCCTCATTATGCCCCCTGGGAGGTACCAGCACTGCTTGGGCTGTGTCCCCTCCCAGGCCTCAGGCCTAGCTCCTCAGGGAGCCTCCTTCAGGCTCCTGAGATGGCAGCACCATCCTGGCCACACGCTGTCCTTTGAGATCTGAGTTCCAGCTCTGGAAAGCCCCTTCCCTAGCGCCTAAGGTATTAACAGCAGCTGAGTGGTGCCCTCCCTGCAGAGGTCTCCTCCAAGCTTCCAGGTTGTAATAATCCCAGCCTCTTCCTTTTTTAACCCCAGCTGGTTCCTGTACATTGCTAGAGGAAATGCAATATGATACAACCTTTATAGAAAAGATTTTGACAATATCCAGCAAAATTACATATGCATATAAAATCATTCAACCCAGCAATCCCACTTTTAGGAAACTATACCAAAAATTCTCTTGAAAAAATACAAAAATTTCATTATGGCATGGTTCGTACTAGCAAAAAAGAAAAGAAAAGAAAGGAACCATGTGAGAAACCATCAATAGGGCACAGCTAACTTGAGAGCCAGCTGAAATGGATGAAAATAGCTATCAACCTGGTAATGAACAGAGATACTTGACCTTAGAAAAAGTCTTTGAATTTGTATCTTTATGAGGGTGTGCTCTAAGGAGAAAAAGAACTGTAAAAAATCTTAAACTTTCATTCACTAGTCTTATTGCTGCCATAATATCGATGTGACTTTTTTGAAATAGATCTAAGGACAGATTAAAGCAATTATGTTAAGGTTTTAGAAGCAAGATTTTTGGCATAAAAGAGATACAATTATAAAATCCAAGAGGGTTAAAAAAAGTCTGCAATCATAAATTTTAATTAGAAATGTTAGTGTGAATTGATGCTTTTTGCACTGCTCTTTTTAAAATTATGTATTTTCCAGCTGTGTCCAATTTTCTAAATACTATTTCCCATTCAGAGGAAGCAGGGCTCTTGGGAGCAATGGCTGATTCCGAGTTGGGACAGGACATAGACTAGGGGAGCCTGGGATGTCTTATGCCAGAAAGGAAGGATATTGTCAAAACCTCATGGCGACCACATCAAAAGGACACAGGTTCCCATTGGAAGGTGCTTCCATTGGCCTGAGATGGGACAAACTGAACATCAATAAGAACGATGACTGCAGTTGGTTAAAACATTAACTATACAAAGTCCTAATTTCATAATGATACTCAAAAAAGAGGAGAAACAAAGCAAAGCATGTTGGATACCACTGGAAGTTGCTAGGACACTAACTCAATCCTTTAAAAATGTATAAGGGAAAGTAATAAAAGTTTATCTTGCCTTTTTGTATAAATTTAACTTGTGCACAGTCAACAGCTACAGTGAATAGTGATAATTTTTCAATTCAAAAGAATCTCAGCTGATGAATGCCGAGGAATGTTAGAATTAAAGAAATTACTCTTTTGCAACCTGCTACGAAAATAAGTGCTTCAGGCGAAGGTCAGCAATAGATGGTGAAAGCATGAGGTGCGATGTTCACGGAGAAATTCCTTATGAAGAGAGAACCACTGACCCCGGTGATCAGTCTTAGCATCGCTGAGAACGAGACAGCAGACACCATCTGCCTCCTGACGTGCTGCAGTGTCAAATGTAGGAACCACCTGTGAAGCATTCCTACTCTCCCTCCCAAAAATGAATCAAGGCTTCAGATCTATATGCAGTGTACAGGCAAGAAGACGGATGGAAGAACAAAGAACACCAGGGAGAAGCCTCCAGCCATCCTCAACAGGCGTTCATTCTACAGGACAACCCACCTCGATTCTTCTTCACCATGCTAATGCATTAAAAACGGAGAGTGGGTGAGGAGACTGTTCTAGATTAAAAGAGACTGAAGAGACAATAAGCAAATAGTACATGGAGTAGAAATCAAGTGTAAAAAGACGTTTTTTAAGACACTGGGAAATTTGAGGCTATTAAAAAAATATGCATTTTGTTGGATTTGATAATGGCATTTTGGCTTAGTAAAAAAATTTTTTTTTTAAATGTATACTGAAGTATTTAGGGGTAAAATGATATATCTGAGATTGGCTTTAAAATACTCCAGAAAAAATACTGGAGTATGGTAAAATGTTGACCAGTCTTACAGCTTAGCGAGTGAGGTGTACAGGAATGCTAGTTGTACTCTTTGTACTCTACAAATTTTGGAAATGTTCACAATAAAAATCGTGTTTACAGAAATGAAATGACACAGGAAAATATTCTAGGTATGCTCAGTGAAAAGAAGTCTGGAAAAGAGTTTGATCCCATTTGAGTTTTTGAAAGGCATTAAGGGCAGGTTTCAAAAACATACAGATAGACCCAGAAAGTTAACAGTGGTACATTCTAAGTTGTGGACACACGAGATTTTTATTTTCATGCTTTTCAGTATTTTCCAAGATTGATTTTTAAAGTTTTTCCTGATGTTTTACATCTCCATTGATATTTATCACGTAAACTTCGTGGTTATTTACTGAATAAACTGTGAATAATGAGAACACCTTTTTTTTAAAACTCAGTTTATATCAAGGTCGCTCTTGATTTTAAACAGCAACTGGACTAGTTATCTCTAAAACTGCGAGGTCAAGTTGTAAACCATTCCTTGTCCTGAGCTCCTCTCCCGCAAAGTCGGGGTCACGGTGCTGGTGTATCAACTACTAAGGGTCCAGACTGCAGCAGGCGCGGGGGCAGGGGGCACCGAGCCCTCCTCTTCCCGGACTTCAGATGCGGCTGCAGAGCCGCTGAGCCTGTGCACTAAGGTCGCGGCCGCCGCCCCGGCCCGGGGGAGCCGCGGGTGCCGCCAGCGGCCGCGCAGGCCGGC